TTTAAATTAGTGGAGCATAACAAATAAAACCTGCTTCTCCACGTTTGGTTCTGTTCCTGTGTATGCAGAGTTGATTCACTGACAACAACTCTGTCATATATTTTGCTGCAGAGCCGTTTAGTGATTCCGTTAGACTTCCTCTTAGATTAGTTCCCCCTGCTCTCGGGTCAGTTTTAGCTTTTAAATCATACTTATTTTGGGTCAGTTCTTCCTGAGCTCATCTGTTACATAAGATAGATTTTAGTGGCTTTTTTAAAATAGGGTAGATTTTGTTCTCATTGTTTGTGTGTTTGCTCTCCCAGTCGCTGCCCTGCACCTGCAGCATCTCCCAAACACGCACCATGACCATGTTGGATGGGACTTACAGCGAGGCCGACACCAACAGCCTAGCTGGCTACACCGAGGAGCCAATGGGTCCTGAGGACGAGCCCGAGCCAGAGCCTGAGCCAGAGGAGAAGCCAAAGGTCCCAGAGAAGTCAGAGCATATGGTGGTCCACCTGTCCATGAGCACCGAGCCTGCGGGCATCAAGAAGAGGAAGAGTCTACGCGCCCTCAACATCATCCAGAATACACATGCCATTGATAAATATTCTCGGATGATTTTTCCTGGATCATATATTTTCTTCAACCTTATCTACTGGTCTGTTTACTGCTGATTGACAGCTGGGGATCAGGGTGAGGCTGGCAAGGTAGAAACAAGCCGTTGTGATAAAGCTGGGGAGGAGACTTTGAACAGTTAGTGTTCTACAAGATACACAAATAGAACAAGGAGTCCAGCAGGACCTGAGGAGATTCAAAGGCTCTTCAATTATCTTTAGCTTTCTGCTCCTGGGTTTCATTTTGCTCCAACAGCAGCTTGAATGTTGATATTTTAACAAGGAAACCATAAACTCTATCACGTTACCTCTTAGTTATGAATGTTTGGGTCCAGAAGTTTTCATCCGTTTGTGGTTTAATGGTATTAAAACCTGAAACTGAGGAGGTTATTAACACAAAGAAAATGTCTCAGGTTAGAATACACAGAGGAGATTATCTGGTTATATTTATATCCATCTGAATGTAATATGCTCAGATTTAGTTTATGGGCTTTGATGGGATTCTGGTTTGCATGATCCTGTTGAGCTCAGCAGATGTCACCTCAGGAAATGTTAACCGCTCAGTCTAATTACATGGTAAAATAATCAGATATGAAACAGGGCAGCAGGTAGAAGGCACCTGGCGGCAGTTGTCATGGTAACAGGCGTTAATGATGGAAGGGAATTGGGTTGTGTATTTTCTTAGTTTTCAACTGGTGAAGTTGTTTATTACAGAGGATATCTAACTATAAAGAGAACTCTGGCTGAGATTTAGCCTTGAAGAGATTTCCACACATCATTAAGTAATTGGCTCTTTTCAAAGAGGAGGAATCAGAAGCAGTAATAAATTTGATCTGTTATTAATTAAATATTTTCAGATTTCAAAGATTTTCAGCAATCAGGATTTAATTTGCTGCTCTTGTAAAATGTATACTCACGGCCTCTAACTGTAGAATATACCAGCTTACCTACATGTCAGCATCCGTAAAGCCTGAACACTGAAACCAGCTGATAGAATGACTCGGGTTTAGATTAGGTTCTGTTAAACCTGATCTCCACAACCATCTGATGGCAGCTTCAGACATGTTTCTGGGAAGCTGCCTTTTTTCAACCTGAGAAAACATTCTTGTGTTTATTTATATTATTATTGTAGGACTGATTTACTCCAGTGAAAAAAATATGTGTATTATTAAATGAAAAAACTATGTAGATTAAACAACTGTGGAAACTGTTGAAAGAGAGCTTGCTTCTAAAGTTTTTATAAAATTGGGAAGGACTGCTAACAAGCTGACATTGAGTCAATCAAAGATTATGAGCAGCTTTTTTAGGAGAATATCATGTTGGACGCCCTGCATCTGCGGCTCCGCCTCTGCAGCTTCACAAAGGTCTGCAGCTCAACATCCATCTGTAGCGCCGCCTCCGTCTGCAGCCTCATGGAGGTCTGCAGCTCGACATCCATCTGCAGCTCAACATTCTTCTGCAGCCTCATGGAGGTCTGCAGCTCAACATCCATCTGCAGCTCAACATTCTTCTGCAGCTTCATGGAGGTCTGCAGCTCAACATGCATCTGCTGCTCCACCTCCGTCTGCAGCTTTATGGAGGTCTCGGCTCAGTATCCATCAGCAGCTCTGCCTTCATCTGCAGCTTCATGGAGGTCTGCAGCTCAGCATCCATCTGATGTGCCTCCATCTGCAGCTTCATGGAGGTCTGCAGCTCAGCATCCATCTGATGTGCCTCCATCTGCAGCTTCATGGAGGTCTGC